AGCGAGGGCACGTCCTGCTAGGGGGATTTTTTATCCCTAGCAGGACGTGCCCTCGCTCTAGTAATGAACGGTGAAATACGGCTCCCGATTTTTTTCCTCTAATACGATCCACCCTTCCCATCCTACCTGACTTCTCAACCTTTCCCCAGCTTCCGACCGATTTTTCCGAACATTTCCAGAAATTTTTCAGTTCTCGAAATTTTGTCTGTTGACTGGGGGAGGGGGGGGGAGGGGTGGTAGCCACCAAGCAACAACTGTTTTGAACTTACCGAAATAGTGGTTGCATAGAACTTTGGCAGCTCTACCATCTTGGGGAGCGGGGAGGGGGGGGGGGGGGTAAAGACTCAACAACCGACAAAAATTTTAACAACGCGGCAGTATTACTCAACGGCCAATAAGACCCTCGTCCTCTCCCGAAAATGAGCAACACAACCCTCAGCGACCAAGTGCAACCCCTTCTGGGAATTCCCCAACATACGACGTGGTCTGGCAGTGGATCCCGTATACAAAAAGTCAACCCGCTTGAAGCAGTTTTGGTACCACACCGGCGTAATTTGTTGAAAAAATTGACGACTGCAGGTCATCCTCCCGTTTTCGAAAAAAAAACATGAAATTTTTCACCTATGTTCGGACAACGATCAGGCGAGCGGATCTATTCATTCAAATGATTTGGTGTAAAGATGAGCGAATCGGGGGTTGCTTGAGCTTGGCAGGGAAAGGAGCAAGCAAAGTGCAGGCGACAGCGCCTCTAGCTCTTTGACTCGGTCTCTCTACACGAGGAAGTAAAGTAAAACTGCAACAAAACCGCGATGCAGAGGAAATCAGTATGAAGCCTTCGGCGTTGCTGAAGCCCACTTTAGGACGCACCGCATATTCCACTTTAGAATTTTAATCCCGTTTCAGGTAGCTGATGCAGAAGCGGACCCCTAGATCGCACAGATGGCGTGCGGCGCCACCCACTACAAAACCACTGTCTCTAGACGAATTTTCACAAACGAAAAATCAAAGGAAAGCTGTCGGCGTACTTTCACAGCTTATCAGCTCAGTCTCAAATCCCATGTCATCTACAGCTTCCGCAACCTGCTCCGCTGTCAAAATAGACGGATCAAATACAATAGCACCTGAAACAGACACAATTCAGCTAAACTGAACACTAAACTAAACCCCAAGGTTATTAAGCAAATACCTTTCTCCTCTTCTAATGAAACCTTCACAGACAGAACTCCATCCCGTTTTGAGATAGTATCTTGAATGTTGTTCACACAAGCATGGCACACCATTCCCTTGATGGATATGATGGCTTTTCTTGGAGCACAATTGCTCCCTATACAGATATTTTCCCCTAAAAATCATTTTTCAGGAAAAAACGATTTTTCCAAAACTACGGCAGAAGCAACGAAGGGTACAACGACCTTCACGAGTATACATAAGCTTCGCTTCGAAACCCATATCGTCTATACTTTCAGCTACACTAATTCCAGTCCAATGAGATGGGTCGAAAACCACAACGCCTAGAAATGTTCTCCATGGTGAAGAGAGTGCAATATGAGCAAGAACAGAAGAAGCTCACCTTCAGCGTCATCAAGTGAAACCTTGCAAGAGTGAATGCCGGGCCGAGTTCGCATTGTGTCTTGAATGTTGTTCACACAAGCATGACAAGTCATTCCTCTGGAATTGCACGCTTCAGACGTTCCGATAAAGATCTCTTATCAAGGCGCTCACTTAATACTGATCACAGCAGTTTGTAGAGTTCCTTTCTTCTCATTTTTAGGTTGTTCAGCAGAGCCGCGTGAAGCAGTTGGTGACGAATCTCTGAAAACAATACTACTCATTCCAATGACACCCATGGAAGGGGTTATGCTTGGTCAATTGAACTATTCATGGTCCCACAAGCTGCACAGCCTTTATCTAGCTTTTGCCTACCGCTCAAAGACTCCTGAGGCAGAGCCAAATGTTATGCAATTCGAGAAAAATGAGCTCCCTGTCAGACAGTTCATACTTCGCGAACGGTTCAATCGCGCGATTAAACAACCGCGTGGCTGATACGAAGCGCGCTCACCCGGCATTTGATGAACCGCTTAAACGGTTAAAAATAGTTCTGTAATGAATGCGATTGAAGCTGCTATTGTTTGATAACTGCTGTTTAACGCCGCAGTGCGCGATACGAAAGTTATCACAAGAATGCTGAGTTATGGGCAAAAGTCGGACCACGGACGGGATTCGAACCCGCATCTTCTGCTTACCGGGCGGTTGCTTTCCCTATTACGCTCCCGGGGCCACTCTTGCCAACTCAGCTCAATGGCTATTCGTGTCATTGCCTTCGAGCACTTCAATGCGGTTCGAATCCCGTTCGTGGTCTGACTTTTGCCCATAACTCAGCATTCTTGTGAATGCGATTGAATTATGCGATCAGATCCAATCAGGGCACAACCTTGTTGGGGATTCTCTAACAGGGGAGGGGGGTCGTACTTGGGGCCATATGAGCTG